CAGAACGTAGTCTTAAACTCGTAATGTTAATGTTTAAATAAATAAACAACTTTCAATCTATTTTGACGAAGTACGCCGAATACACGTGTTAATGCAATATTTCATCAGATGGCAGTTTGGGTAGGGTGGTATGGCGAAACGTCATACTGTCTTCCAAGCTGCTAAGTCGAGTATTTTTAAGAGAACGTATTATCTCAGCATTCAAGCTATTATATGACAGATATCATGAACTGGCGATAAATACGACTAACCACCTATGCATATGATAACAGGATTGAGGGACTATGCATGGACCATGATTCTAATGGCACTGCCTTCAACTGTAGCGTCATTCATTCACAAAAGTGTTTTGCAGCTGGATGTCACAGACTTATCATCAGACACGACGACGACGCCATGTATCCCCATCAACGAAACCTGTTTTCATGATTTAACATAAAGAAAGACGCATGTCGAATACGTTGCAAAATAATTTTAAATTTTTAGCAGAAGTTACTTCCTAGTTACAACAAATTTATTATTTGTCATTAGCCCAATGTGTTTTTTATATTTACACAGACCCTGATTACCTCCAAAATTGTGCATTGATGGAGTCCTCGGTGGCGGGAGCCATACGTTATCAAAATGCAGACACGTGCTATATAAAAGTGGCATTCAATGAACAAAATGGCGGTACGGCCCGCACAATGTGCGAAAACTACAGCGGCTATCTATTGATTATAGATAATTCTGGTGAACAAGATTTCATTGAATCGAAGACATCGACCAATCATATTTACTGGATAGGCATAGTACGCAATGCGTCCGATTATGTTTGGGTTGATGGAACGCCTGTTGCTAGTGGATACAGCAATTGGGATGGTACATTCCCTAAAGGGGATGACTGTGTTATCTTTAGTGGTCCCAATGGAAAGCGGTGGCGAGACGAGCCGTGTGACACGTCAACACATTATTTCTGTGAATTTTCTGGTAAGTACAAATACATGTTGGAAATACATCTCAACTTCTAAAATATTTTGTCCTCGTATGGGTCGCTTATATGCTGTTATGTTAAATATATTAGTGGGTGTGTTAAATATGCAAATTATATAACTTTGAATATGTTATACATAAACAATTATTGTGTTTGATACTGAATGCTCAGATAAAAAAACATTATACTATGAGGTTTTTACGAGGATACCTCAAAGTATGCACGAAGACAGTACAGCTGAGTGTATCGACCGACGCGCAGCGGAGATCGACGTGACGGTGTACTTTCCTTCCCAGGTAACATCATGGGAATCCCGAAATTAAAAATGTTTAGAGCAGAATCAGCGAACTTCTTTGTGTGGAGCCCGGTCAAACCATGGTGGCAGCCATATTTGTTTTTATTATTAGAAGACGTTTACGCGCGTAATTATTCCACATTTGGAATTCGAAAATACCCCGTAAAATACCGCAAAATTACGGCACGTTGTAACTTGTGGCATTACGGTGATAGATGTATAATAATATAATTCATTGTTAGCGACATGATGAATATATATAATTTTGGGAACGACAATCGTATGTACATCCTTGCATCCAATCAGAAACATGAGTATGCAAATATTTCGTCGCTTTTGTTCAGCCAATCACGGCAAACAATGTGAACGGAAATGAATCAAAAGAAACGAATACTAGTAATACATAGTTTGGCCAATCATAGAACGTGTATCATTTCTTTCGTTTCGTTCCGTCCATGTATTTAGCAAGTTCGCTAATACGTTATTATAACAAAACCGACAACATTTTTTACGATAAATCATATTATATTGTTTCCGTCAAGATATAAAATAAAACAAATATTTTCACATGCAAAATATTCAATCTTTATTGCCTATTAAATAAAATTTCTTAAATTAAAGTAGATTAAATCACATACATACGCGATGTCATGTCATGTCATAATCCAAACTCCAAAACAGCCATTCATCTCACGATCGCGAAACGCGCATTGCAAACAAGTCAGCAGCTTAGATGTTGTTGGTTTGGTGTTCGGAACAATATGGCGTTGACAGTAAAAACTGACGCTACAATGCTGCGGTTGCTCAAACCTATCTTATGTGTTTTGTTTGTCCAACTTCAGAGCAACCGATTGAACCTACAACAACAAAATATCCAACAACAGTATACAAAACGTCTGATTCAAGTGTAACAACATTGGAACAAACAACTAGGGATTCTGCGCAGCTGCAGACAACGACTCAACTGACTAGTCCCGTTTCCAGATCAACCACGATAACAGCAATGACGTCTATGTCTAACGGAATACCACCAACATTATCATCGTACCATACTGGAATGAACTGCAGATTGACGATCAATGATGAACCAGCTACACATGCGGGCAAAACAACGACCGAGAACACAAAACATGAATCTAAAATAGGTTTCCTAGGTATGAATATAGGAGGTGTTGTCATGTTTTCAGTGTGGATGGGGGCAATGTCACTTGGACTTGGTATATGTATGGTTCTGGACATATTACAACTTACTGTCCGAGTATGCAGATCCCCGAAACGAAACCGTAACAGCGAAAATGTATTGTACGATATTTAGTGTTTTTCCTTCTTTGATTGATTACAATCATACGACTTAAGTATGTACAAGACGTCTATGATTTCAGCATACGTTTTTGTGTAATTCGCATTGATATCAGGATGGGGCTTATGCAGTTTAGAAGTCGAATGGTTCGAGTTTGGTTTCAAAATCATGTAATGATTTGTCGGCTACAGAATTTCAAAAAAAGGTTATTTGATTATTATTGTTTTTGTTGGCTCTTACACAAGAACAAATAATTAATTTGCTTATTTAAAATTGTACAGGGAGTGTTTTAAAATTGAGCACAGTTTAGATTTGGACAAATTTGATCTGCTCAAAAATATATACTGAATTTAAAACAAACCGCTGAAGCTTAAACAGGACTAAAATGATTGAATATTCAGTGGGTGTGTAATGTTATCAGAATAAATCGTCTATCAGGTATGACTCTGTATTGAAACTGAACCCTCTTGGAAACAAATAGTACTATATAGCATGGCAGGAACTATGGCGCCATTGCGTAACAGTGTGATTGAACACGTTGATATCAGGAAACGAATAGCAATAATGATAATAATAAAAGCTGGAATATCAGAGATCGATCGTTGTTGACGTTGTTGCCATTACCGATGTCATTGACATACTGTGACACATGTAGAGGGTGTTTCAACTATGGGATGGCGTTTGTGCATTTATTTATATAGCGTTTTTTAGGGATTTAAGCTTATTACATGTTGTATATGTATACAATTCTGTGATTTCTCATAATGAGATTTCAAATCAATTATATAGAAATCATGAGTGAGGATGTTTTATTTATTTATAAATAATGAGTTTCGTACTATTATATATAAATAACATCTATATGTACATTTTATTATTTATAAATAATTTTTGCTTTCATTACCCAAATGTTATTTAATTATGACTTGGGATATGTTATACATATAAAAAAAATGATGAAGATCGAGTTCAATTCTATGAAAATAATTGTTATTGCAGCATTTATTTACAAACCAAGGATCAATGTATTATATTCTTTATTTATATTTATGTGATTTATATACAAGCAATTGTGTTTCGTATATAATCAGAAAGGTGTGTTATATTATTTACATAGAATGCAGCAAAATGCATTATTTATAAATAAATACCATTATATTTACGTAAGCTTGTTATTTGTAAATAATAATACAGACGAAGAGCGAACATCATAATGTATGAATAATTACAACTCGATGAATACAGCTTTATTTACGAACCATGGACGTTTGTGGCATTTTCATGATTAATAACAAAAAAATGTGGGTTTCAAAATGATTTATAAATAAATAATGCAAGCCAGATTTATACAGAGTCTTTGTATACGAATAATACAAATATTGACTCTGTTTACGAGTTAAAGCACGCTATAACTTATGGCGTTATAGTTATCGCACGAAATAGTGCACCACGACGCCAACAACATTAGCATACACGCAATGATATATTTGTATTCGATGTTATTTCAGCAGTAGTTCACTGATTCACTTCACTGATTTAATGTCTTTTTGATTTCCAATGTGTAGCCTTTTGCCTATTATAAATTATGATTTGGTTGTTGGTATTTCTACTTTATATTATATTAGCAAGCAGAATGTTGTACTGTATTTTA